CCTCTAGTTTATAAATGGACTTAGTTTTTCTTCCAGTTAACATTACATACAGTCTGCAGTTAAAGTTTTTAAAACATTTATTAGATTCATAAACCATCCTGGATTCTTACCGAACTTTGAACAGAAGCTTCTCACATTCAAAAGATAGTATCTAGAGGAAAATTTTTAATAATTATTTCCCCATTTTTGTTGAGCCTGCGACTAACAGCAGAAGTAAGGGAGACAATTGGTTCAGCGGAACCCTTACCAATTTTTCTGTATTTTACTGATAAATGGACATATATAGTTTTTTTACAGTTAACATTCAGATTCTGTCTGGGGTTAAAGTTTTTTGGTCATCAATAACTTTGTCAAACCTTTGTGGAATTTTATGAAATTTAGACAGAAGTTTGTTTATGGCCAAAATACAGTATCCAGAGCAAAATTTTGAAAATATTTATTTTCATTTATCCGTATTTTACACAATACTGATAAATGGACTTAGTTTTTTTTTTTACAGTTAACAAGTAGATACAGTCTGGGGTTAAAGTTTGTTACACATCAAATACTTTTTCATGATTAAGAGATAATGTCTGAAACAAACTTTTGAAAATATATTTTCATATTCAGTAATTTTCTGATAGATGGACTTAGTTTTTTACAGATAACATTTACACACAGTCTGGGATTAATTTTTTTTGACATGATAAGTTTGTAAATCTCCATGGATTGTTATGAAACTTGGACAGAAGCTAATCTTCAAGACCAAGAAATAACATTTAAAGAAAAAGATTGATTTTTTTTTAAATTCTGTTTTTTACTGATAAATGGACTCACTCTTTGTTGAACCAGTGAAATTTATTTCACAGTAGCGAGACATAGCGATCCTAGATTCCGTTGTTGGCGGCGTCAACATTTAGGTTCAGTCTGTGGTTAAAGTTTTTTTACACATCAATAACTTTATCAAACCTTCATTGAATTTTATGAAATTTGGACATAAGCTTGTTTATGACCAAAATACAGTATCCAAAGCAGAATTTGAAAATATTTATTTTCATAAGTCCGTCTTTTACTGATAAATGGACTTAGTTTTTTTTACAGTTATCATTCAGATTCAGTCTGAGGTTAAAGTTTTTCTGTCATCAATATAAACTTTGTCAAACCTTCATGGAATATTATGAAATTTGGACAGAAGCTTGTTAATGACCAAAATACAGTATCTAAGAGCAAAATTTTGAAAACATTTATTTTCATTTTTCTGTATTTTACTGATAAATAGACTTATTATTTTTTACAGTTATCAGTCTTGAGGTTAAAGCTTTTCTGTCATCAATAACTTAGTCAAACAGAATTTTATGAAACTTGGGCAGAATCTTTTTTATGATTAAGAGATAATGTCTGATGCAAAGTTTTCAAAATATATTTTCATTTTCAGTATTTTTCTGATAGATGGACTAAGTTTTTTACAGTTTACATTTCCCGACAGTCTGGGATTAATTTTTAGCTCACCTGGCCTGAAGGGCCAAGTGAGCTTTTCTCATCACTTGGCGTCCGTCGTCGTTGTCGTTAGCTTTTACAAAAATCTTCTCCTCTGAAACCACTGGGCCAAATTAAACCAAACTTGGCCACAATCATCATTAGGGTATCTAGTTTAAAAAATGTGTCCAATGACCCCGCCAACCAACCAAGATGGCCGCCATGGCTAAAAATAGAACATAGGGGTAAAATGTAGATTTTGGCTTATATCTCTGACACCAAAGCATTTAGAGTAAATCTGACAAGGGGAAAACTGATTATCAGGTCAAGATCTATCAGCCCTGAAATTTTCAGACAAATCTGACAACCCGTTGTTGGGTTGCTGCCCCTGAATTGGTAATTTTAAGGAAATTTTGCAGTTTTTATACGACCGCAAAAAAATTTTTGCGGTCGTATATTGGTATGACGTTGGCGTCGTCGTCGTCCGGCTTCTTTTGAAGACACATTGGTTTTCGCACTCTAACTTTAGTTTTAAGTGAATGGATCGCTATGAAATTTTACTGTAAGGTTCAATTCCACAAAAGGAAGGTTGGGATTGATTTTGGGGGTTATGGTACCAACAGTTAAGGGATTAGGGGCCAAAAAGGGGCCAAAAATAAGCATTTTTGTAACTTCCAGACATAACTTGTGTGTTAGTGTATGGATCTCTCTGACATTGTACCACAAGGTTCCAAAAAAGGGGCAAAAAACAAGCATTTTTCTAGTTTCATGACAATTACTTGTATGTAAGTGTATGGATCTTTCTGAAATTGTACTACAAGGTTCCATATCACAAAGGGAAAGCTGGAATTGAGTTTGGGGGTAATTGCCCAAAACGTTTAGGAATAAGGGGCCAAAAAGGGGCCAAAAATAAGCATTTTTCTAGTTTCCAGACAATAACTTGTGTTCAAGTTTATGGATCCTTTTTTTTTCTTTTTTTCCTTTTTATACGACCGCAAAAAAATTTTGTGGTCGTATATTGGTATGACGTTGGCGTCATCGTCGTCGTCCGGCGTCGTCATCCGAATACATTTTGGTTTTCGCACTCTAACTTTAGTTTAAGTGAATGGATCTTTTTGAAATTTGACCATAAGGTTAAATACCACAAAAGGAAGGTTGGGATTGATTTTGGGGGTTATGGTACCAACAGTTAAGGAATTAGGGGCCAAAAAGGGGCCAAAAATGAGCATTTTCTAGTTTCCAGACTATAACTGTGGAACGGTGTATGGATCTCTCTGAAATTATACTACAAGTTTCCATACCACAAAGGGATGGTTAGGATTTGCTTTGGGGGGTTATGGCTCAAACCATTTAGGAATTAGGGGCAAAAAAGGGGGAAAAACAAGGTTGTCCTGGTTAATGGACAAATACTTTAGTACAAAACATAATTTAAAGCAGTGTAAGGGAGATAAATCAAATACATCATTGAAATTATCTCCCTTACACTGCTTTTAAATTATGTATAAAGTAATGGTTAATGAACAATAAAGATAATCTAAAACGGTGTAAGGGAGGTAATCCAAATACAACGTTTTGGTTACTTCCCTTACACTGGTTTTAAATTATGTTTAAAGAAATGCATATTTATAAAGGAAGACCAGTAAAAATATCTGCAAATGTTTTCATCTTTTTTTTTTACAAAAAAATCCATATGAAAGATTTGACACTATATTTTTATTAATTCTATTATAAAATAGATTAAGTTAGCACTATGGTAAATTTAAATGGGTAATTATGGTTGCCAACTCCATTGGAAATTTGAATTGAGATTATGACCATATCTTGAGGGAAAGAATTTTTTTGGGGGAAAAAGGGGGGGGGGATAAAAAGAAATTGTGGGGGGCCAATTTTTTCTCATTTCAGATTTCAGAAATTAAAAAGAAGTATTCTTCAAATATTATTTTTTTTTCAAATTTCAAATATTGAAAAATTTCAAGAAGTAATCTTTAATTGCACAGTATGGCGCATTAGATTTGTAAAATCTTTGATCACATTTATTTATTTGTTATGCCGAATCTAACAGTGTATTTAGATTTTTAATTTTGGGTCCAGTTTTCAAATTGGTCTACATTAATGTCCAAAGGGTCCAAAATTAAACTTTGTTTGATTTTAGCAAAAATTGAATATATGAGGTTCTTTGATATGCTGAATCTAAACATGTATTTAGATTTTTGATTTTTGGCCCAGTTTTCAAGTTGGTCCAAATTGGGGTCCAAAATTAAACTTTGTTTGATTTCAACAAAAATTGAATATATGGGGTTCTTTGATATGCTGAATCTAACCATGTATTTAGATTTTTTATTTGTGGACCCCGTTATCTAATTGGTTCATATTGAGGTCAAAAGGGTCCAAAATTAAACTTTGTTTGATTTCATCTAAAATTGAATTATTGGGGTTCTTTGATGTTCCAAATCTAACCGTGTATTTAGGTTTTTAATTTTGGGTCCTGTTTTTTAAATTGGTCTACATTGAGGTCCAAAGGGTCCAAAATTAAACTTAGTTTGATTTTGACAAAAATTGAATTCTTGGGGTTCTTTGATTTGCTGAATCTAAACATGTGTTTAGATTTTTGATTATGGGCCCAGTTTTCAAGTTGGTCCAAGATTGGGTCCAGTATTTAAACTTTGTTTGATTTCAACAAAAATTGAATATATTGGGTTCTTTGATATGCTGAATCTAAACATGTATTTAAAATCATGTGTTTAGATTTTTGATTATGGGCCCAGTTTTCAAGTTTGTCCAAGTTGGGGTCCAAAATTAAACTTTGTTTGATTTTAACAAAAATTGAATATATGGGGTTCTTTGATATGCTGAATCTAACCATGTATTTTGATTTTGGACATTGGACCATAATAGGTAAATTAAAAAAATTCAAGTTCTTAGACCACATTCTTTCTGTGTCAGAAACCTATGCTGTGTCAAATATTTAATAACAATCCAAATTCAGAGCTGTATCAAGCTTGAATGTTGTGTCCATACTTGCCCCAACTGTTCAGGGTTCGACCTCTGCGGTCGTATCAAGCTGCGCCCCAGCGAAGCATTTTATTTTTTTCTTTTAAAATTTTCCATTTTAAGCTGGTAATACTGTTTTATATTTAAAAGCAAATAATAATGATATGGTAGGAGATACACACCAAACAGGATGTGTAAATTATTATATAATAAGTATTGTGCAATAGCAAGAAATTTTCAATTGCACAGTATTGCACAATAGCAAGAAATCTTCAATTGCACAGTATTGCGCAATAGCAAGAAATCTTCAATTGCACAGTATTGTGCAATAGCAAGAAATATCCAATAGCACAATATTGCGCAATAGCAAGAAATTGTCAATTGTACAGTATTGCGCAATAGCAAGAAATATTCAATTGCACAGTATTGTGCAAAAGAAGATACTTCGTATAAATTGCTTATTTCTTGACCAATTTCAATGGGGTTTTATTCTTGAATTCTTGGGGTTCTTTAATATGCTGATTCTAACCGTGTATTAAGTTTTTGGATTTTGGGCCCCGTTTTTAAATTGGTCCACATTGAGGTCCAAAGGGTCCAAAATTAAACTTTGTTTGATTTCATCAAAAATTGAATTCTTGGGGTTCTTTGATATGCTGAATCTAACCATGTATTTAGATTTTGGATATTGGACCATAATAGGTGAATGTCCAATTTAAAATTTTTAAGTTTTTAGACCACATTCATTCTGTGTCAGAAACCTATGCTGTGTCAAATATTTAATCACAATCCAAATTCAGAGCTGTATCAAGCTTAAATGTTGTGTCCATACTTGCCCCAACTGTTCAGGGTTCGACCTCTGCGGTCGTATCAAGCTGCGCCCTGCGGAGCATTTTATTGGTTATTATCTTGAATATAATTATAGATAGAGATAAACTGTAAACAGCAATAATGTTCAGCAAAGTAAGATCTACAAATAAGTCGTCATGACAAAAATTGTCAGTCGACCTCTTTAGGAGTTATTGCCCTTTATAGTCAATTTTTAACAATTTTTCGTAAATTTTTGTAATCTTTTATAAAAATCTTCTTCTCTGAAACTACTGAGACAAATTTAACCATTCTTGGCTTAATCATTATTAGGGTATCTAATTTAAAAAAATTGTCCGATGACCCCCCCTTCCAACCATCATGGCCGATTTGGTTAAAAATAGAACATAGGGGTAAAATGCAGTTTTTATACGACCGCAAAAATTAAAAATTTTTTGGTCGTATATTGGTATGACGTTGGCGTCGTCGTCGTCGTCGTCGTCGTCGTTGTCGTCGTCGTCCGGCGTCGTCCGAAGACACATTGATTTTCGCACTCTAACTTTAGTTTAAGTGAATGGATCTCCATGAAATTTCACCATAAGGTTCAATACCACAAAAGGAAGGTTGGGATTGATTTTGGGGGTTATGGTACCAACAGTTAAGGAATTAGGGGCCAAAAAGGGGCCAAAAATAAGCATTTTTGTAACTTTCAGACAATAACTTGTGTGTAAGTGTATGGATCTCTCTGACATTGTACCACAAGGTTCCATATCACAAAGGGAAGGCTGTAATTGATTTTGGGGGTAATTGCCTCAAAATTTTAGGAATTAGGGGCCAAAAAAGGGGCAAAAAACAAGCATTTTTCTAGTTTCATGACAATAACTTGTGTGTAAGTGTTTGGATATTTCTGAAATTGTACTACAAGGTTCCATATCACAAAGGGAAAGCTGGAATTGAGTTTGGGGGTAATTGCCCGAAACGTTTAGGAATTGGGGGCCAAAAAGGGGCCAAAAATAAGCATTTTTCTAGTTTCCAGCAAAATAACTTGTGTTCAAGTGTATGGATCTCTCTGAAATTGTACTGCAAGGTACCATACCACAAAGGGAAGGCTGGGATTGAGTTTGGGGGTGATGAATCATAAGGGGGTTCAAAAAATTGGGGGAGGGGGATTTTTTTTTTTTTTTTTTTTTCTTTTTTTCCTTTTTTTTTTCTTTTAAAATTTTCCATTTTAAGTTGGTTATTTCTGATTTATATTTAAAAGCAAATAATAATGATATGGTAGGAGATACACACCAAACAGGATGTGTAAATTATTATATAATAAGTATTGTGCAATAGCAAGAAATTTTCAATTGCACAGTATTGCACAATAGCAAGAAATCTTCAATTGCACAGTATTGCGCAATAGCAAGAAATCTTCAATTTAACAGTATTGCGCAATAGCAAGAAATATCCAATAGCACAATATTGCGCAATAGCAAGAAATTGTCAATTGTACAGTATTGCGCAATAGCAAGAAATATTCAATTGCACAGTATTGTGCAAAAGAAGATACTTCGTATAAATTGCTTATTTCTTGATCAATTTCAATGGGGTTTTATTCTTGAATTCTTGGGGTTCTTTAATATGCTGAATCTAACCGTGTATTAAGTTTTTGGATTTTGGGCCCCGTTTTTAAATTGGTCCACATTGAGGTCCAAAGGGTCCAAAATTAAACTTTGTTTGATTTCATCAAAAATTGAATTATTGGGGTTCTTTGATATGCCGATTCTAACCGTGTATTTAGATTTTTAATTTTGGGTCCCGTTTTTTAAATTTGTCTACATTAAGGTCCAAAGGGTCCAAAATTAAACATAGTTTGATTTTAACAAAAATTGAATTCTTAGGGTTCTTTGATATGCTGAATCTAAACATGTGTTTAGATTTTTGATTATGGGCCCAGTTTTCAAGTTGGTCCAAGTTGGGGTCCAAAATTAAACTTTGTTTGATTTCAACAAAAATTGAATATATGGGGTTCTTTGATATGCTGAATCTAAACATGTATTTAGATTTTAGATTTTTGGCCCAGTTTTCAAGTTGGTCCAAATTGGGGTCCAAAATTAAACTTTGTTTGATTTCAACAAAAATTGAATATATGGGGTTCTTTGATATGCTGAATCTTACCATGTATTTAGATTTTTTATTTGTGGGCCCGCTATCAAATTGGTTCATATTGAGGTCAAAAGGGTCCAAAATTAAACTTTGTTTGATTTCATCAAAAATTGAATTATTGGGGTTCTTTGATATGCCAAATCTAACTGTGTTTTTAGATTTTTAATTTAGGGTCCCGTTTTTTAAATTTGTCTACATTAAGGTCCAAAGGGTCCAAAATTAAACTTAGTTTGATTTTAACAAAAATTGAATTCTTCGGGTACTTTGATATGCTGAATCTAAACATGTGTTTAGATTTTTGATTATGGGACCAGTTTTCAAGTTTGTCCAAGTTGGGGTCCAAAATTAAACTTTTTTTGATTTCAACAAAAATTGAATATATGGGGTTCTTTGATATGCTGAATCTAACCATGTATTTTGATTTTGGACATTGGACCATAATAGGTAAATTAAAAAAATTGAAGTTCTTAGACCACATTCTTTCTGTGTCAGAAACCTATGCTGTGTCAAATATTTAATCACAATCCAAATTCAGAGCTGTATCAAGCTTGAATGTTGTGTCCATACTTGCCCCAACTGTTCAGGGTTCGACCTCTGCGGTCGTATCAAGCTGCGCCCAGCGAAGCATTTTATTGGTTTATATCTCTGAAACTAAAGCATTTAGAGCAAATCTGACATGTGGCAAAAATGTTCATCAGATTTAGATTTATCTGCCCTGAAATTTTCAGATGAATCAGACAACCCGTTGTTTGGTTGCTGCCCCTGAGTTTGTAATTTTACAGAAATTTTGCAGGTTTGTACGACCGCAAAAAAAATTTTGTGGTCGTATATTGGTATGTCGTCGTCGTCCGGCGTCGTCCGAAGACACTTGGTTTTCGCACTCTAACTTTAGTTTAAGTGAATGGATCTTTATGAAATTTTACCACAAGGTTCAATACCTCAAAAGGAAGGTTGGGATTGATTTTGGGGGTTATGGTAATAACAGTAAAGGAATTAGGGGCCAAAAATAAGCATTTTTGTAACTTCCAGACATAACTTGTGTGTTAGTGTATGGATCTCTCTGACATTGTACCACAAGGTTCCATATCAATAATGGAATGCTGGGATTGATTTTGGGGGTAATTGCCTCCAAATTTTAGGAATTAGGGGCAAAAAAAGGGGCAAAAAACAAGCATTTTTCTAGTTTCATGACAATAACTTGTGTGTAAGTGTATGGATCTTTCTGAAATTGTACTACAAGGTTCCATATCACAAAGGGAAAGCTGGGTTTGAGTTTGGGGGTAATTGCCCTAAACGTTTAGGAATTTGGGGCCAAAAAGGGGCCAAAAAACACATTTTTTTCTAGTTTCCAGACAATAACTTGTGTTCAAGTGTATGGATCTCTCTGAAATTGTACTGCAAGGTACCATACCACAAAGGGAAGGCTGGGATTGAGTTTGGGGGTGATGAATCATAATGGGGGTTCAAAAAATTTTGGGGGGGGGATTTATTTTTTTTTCCTTTTTTTCTTTTTTTCCTTTTTTGTTTCTTTTAAAATTTTCCATTTTAAGTTGGTTATTTCTGATTTATATTTAAAATCAAATAATAATGATATGGTAGGAGATACACACCAAACAGGATGTGTAAATTATTATATAATAAGTATTGTGCAATAGCAAGAAATTTTCAATTGCACAGTATTGCACAATAGCAAGAAATCTTCAATTGCACAGTATTGCGCAATAGCAAGAAATCTTCAATTGCACAGTATTGCGCAATAGCAAGAAATATCCAATAGCACAATATTGCGCAATAGCAAGAAATTGTCAATTGTACAGTATTGCGCAATAGCAAGAAATATTTAATAGCACAGGATTGTGCAAAAGAAGATACTTCCTATAAATTGCTTATTTCTTGACCAATTTCAATGGGGTTTTATTCTTGATTTCATGGGGTTCTTTAATATGCTGAATCTAACCGTGTATTTAGTTTTTGGATTTTGAGCCCCGTTTTTAAATTGGTCCACATTGAGGTCCAAAGGGTCCAAAATTAAACTTTGTTTGATTTCATCAAAAATTGAATTATTGGGGTTCTTTGATATGCCGAATCTAACTGTGTATTTAGATTCTTAAATTTTGGTTCCGTTTTCAAATTGGTCTACATTAAGGTCCAAAGGGTCCAAAATTAAACTTAGTTTGATTTTAACAAAAATTGAATTCTTAGGGTTCTTTGATATGCTGAATCTAAACATGTATTTAGATTTTTGATTATGGGCCCAGTTTTCAAGTTGGTCCAAATCGGGGTCCAAAATTAAACTTTGTTTGATTTCAACAAAAATTGAATATATGGGGTTCTTTGATATGCTGAATCTAACCATGTATTTAGATTTTTTATTTGTGGACCCCGTTATCTAATTGGTTCATATTGAGGTCAAAAGGGTCCAAAATTAAACTTTGTTTGATTTCATCAAAAATTGAATTATTGGGGTTCTTTGATATGCCGAATCTAACCGTGTATTTAGATTCTTAATTTTTGGTTCCGTTTTCAAATTGGTCTACATTAAGGTCCAAAGGGTCCAAAATTAAACTTAGTTTGATTTTAACAAAAATTGAATTCTTAGGGTTCTTTGATATGCTGAATCTAAACATGTATTTAGATTTTTGATTATGGGCCCAGTTTTCAAGTTGGTCCAAATCGGGGTCCAAAATTAAACTTTGTTTGATTTCAACAAAAATTAAATATATGGGGTTCTTTGATATGCTGAATCTAACCATGTATTTAGATTTTTGATTTTTGGGCCCCGTTATCAACTTTGTCCACATTGAGGTCAAAAGGGTCCAAAATTAAACTTTGTTTGATTTCATCAAAAATTGAATTCTTGGGGTTCTTTGATATGCTGAATCTAACCATGTATTTAGATTTTGGATATTGGACCATAATAGGTGAATGTCAATTTAAAATTTTTAAGTTCTTAGACCACATTCAATCTGTGTTAGAAACCTATGCTGTGTCAAATATTTAATCACAATCCAAATCCAAAGCTGTATCAAGCTTGAATGTTGTGTCCATACTTCCCCCAACTGTTCAGGGTTCGACCTCTGCGGTCGTATCAAGCTGCGCCCTGCGGAGCATTTTATTTGTTTTTATCTTAGATATCATTATATCTAATATCTAATACTATTAATTATGATTTTAACCTTATTTTACATGATTTCCAAAGCATCAGTAAATACAGGTGAGCAACAGAGGCTCTTGAGAGCCTCTAGTTTTTGACATGATAAATTTGTGGATTGTTATGAAACTTGGACAGAAGCTAATCTTCTTAGACCAAGAAATAGCATCTTAAGAAAAAATTTTGATTTTGTTTTTAATTCTGTATTTTACTGATAAATGGACTCACTTCTTAAGTCAATATTACACTTTTGCATTGACAGAATCAATTGTAGGAGAGACACATGGTTTTTTAATTCAAAAAAACTAAAAATTCATCAATTTTTATACGACCTCAAAAATTGAAAATTTTTTGGTCGTATATTGGTATCACTTTGTCGTCAGCTGAAGACAGATGGTTTCCGAACAATAACTTTAGTATAAGTAAATAGAAATCAATAAAATTTTAACACAAGGTTTATAACCACTAAAGGAAGGTTGGGATTGATTTTGGAGAGATAATAAGCCACGTCTGGTTTAATCCAAGTCATTTGTAGTATCAAATAATAGCTTACTTTACATTGATTCCAAAAATATATTGTTTCTATATACATATGCTTGAAATAAGGGAGATAAGTTGCTACTTCCGTTTTAAAAAATTTCCCTTCAGGTTTCATCTGATTGATTCGTTTACACTGATTCAAATATATATGGTTCTAGGTACTTTTTAAATGAAATCAGTGCAGCAAATGGCTACTTCCAGTTTACATTAGGTCACTACAGGCTGACCTTTTAAAGGTCATATTTCTATTTACCGAATGCAAACAACCCCATGGCTTTATCATGTATGAATATGAATTTATAGCAAAGGCCTAAATCTAGAACAAAACATTTAACTTTAACCTAGACCTAAATTTAAAGGTAATGAAGCAAGGACCTCAAATCAAAATACTCCTAAGTCTCTTCTATATATGGTTAATGAGTTATGTTACAAAACAACTAATTTTAATCATCAGAAGGGAGAAAACTCCAATTTAAGGTTAACACCCCCTTATAACCAAATATATATGTTTCAACATGTTGCAACTAACAGCTTAGTTAAAATATTTTGTCGATATCTTGTACGGTTTCTGAGGAAAAGGGATATTAAGCTAAAATCAAAATTTTGAATATGACCTTGACCTTTGACCATGACCTCATTTTCTGTTTGGTGGATCAATGACTCAAATCAAAAGACCCTAGGTCTCGATCACTAATGGTTTGCCAGTTAGAAATACATTTCACTTATATCAAGTACTGAAGGGAGCAAGTGATGTGTATTTCAATAGACGACTTTAGAATTCTTGCAATTTCCCATACATTCCCTATGTCACAATGCTCATGTTATTACGTCACAGTAAGAACCGATTGTTCAATGACGCCAGTTACACTGATTGACCAGCAAAAAACATTCAAGATTTGTGTATACCTTTTGTGGCTCCAAGATGGTCATATCCTATCTGCGACCTTGGGGGTTTTGCAGGAGACCTTGCTACTTGAAGTTTCCAGGAGGGGAGGGGGGGGGGGACTGGGGGTACCCTACTGGAGCCCATTATTATATTTAACATAATGGACATGTCCTGTATAAGTAGGTTGGGATACTGAATCACTGTTTGTAGAGTATAGATTGGGAGCATTTCTTGTACATTTATATTATTTTAACACTCAAATTATCTCCCCTTAAAAGTATGGTATTTCATAAACTTTAAAAAAATATATGAATTTAATCTGTAGTTAAACATTAGTCCAAAACTTTTAACAATGTTTTTAAATTTGTACTTTTCATAAGTATGCAGTGTTGATAATTAGTGAAATAGATAATGAAATTGAATTCTTTTACAAATTTGAATACCAACTATTTTATGTAGTATTGTAGATAGTCCTTACATTTCTTCTCATTTATTCATTTGCTATGCATGCGTCACCCGTCATAGTGTTGCATTGAGCACACTATACATCTTTGACAATAGTAGGTGTAATGTTATACCTATTAAAATAAATGTGATATCTCTATGTAAGTGTTCATTTTCATCTTTGACTTTGATTTTTCAAAAGATTCTAGAGATGCAAGATGTGATTATGTTTGTCATCAGGTATATTTTTGTTTAGTAATTTTGTTTTGTGATTTTATCATCTAAATTAAAATAAGGAAATGTGGTATAAATACCAATGAGACAACCATCCAACAGATTCTAAATGACATGGATTTTATTTTTGTCACAATTTTCTCCTTTTTTTTTTTTGAGGTTTCAGTTGAATTGCAACAAATTTAGTTTACTTTTGTTGTTTCTGAGCTATAAGGGCATGAAGTGGCAGAAATACTTATGTTTAATTGGTATAGTTTTTCTTGTTGAGAGTTTATATTAATATGTCGACATGTTTGATATAATTTTACAGTTCCTTAATTTAAAAGAGATGAATGGGGCAAATGCTCAAATAGAGTGCATCTAGCCAATAACTTTGTCA